CGGTGGGGAGGAGTATTTAGGTTTCCTCCACCTGCGAGCTTGATTTAGCTCCTCAAAATTCTACCATTTTAGCATGTGCAGTTATTCTCTATGCTCCCCTTTTCAGGTTAAAAGGATGAACACAAATATACCATTTATTCTGGATGCATTGCAAGCTTCAAGTACTGTTGAAGTGCAGGTTAGATAAATGTTTCCTTTCTTTATTATCCCCCAGTTGCGTTTCTACTTCTCTACTACTGCATTAGTTTTCCCATTTTAGAATTCATGTTTTTTTAACCGTCATTTTGTTTATTGAAAATATTCCCTTGATGTGCACTGAATTTTATTTCCACAGGGTGAGAGGCTGAGGCGACGTGATGAGTGGTCAAAGTGGATTCCATCTTCTGTTACTGATAAATCTTCTTCTCTAGTTCCGAATGCTCTGAAGAATGATGAGCTTAATGATAATAAAAAGGACAGCTCTGAAGGAATAAATGCCTTTTCTTCTCCAAGTGGAAGCTCTGTGGATCACCTACCATCAGGTGAAGATTCTCAAAAGGAGTCATTTAATGATACAGAACAAAACAAAGATAAGGTTGTATTTGGTGGCAAAACCCAAGCACCTGCTTTTGGAGACTGTAATTCAAGTGTGGGAAAGGACTTTGAGGCAAATAATAAACATAATGGCCTTGACCTTAATAAATGTTCGAGTTTCCCAGCCACTACACAAGGAGCTGATTCTGTGAAGTCGAGCATTATTGAAGGCTCTGAAAATATAAAGACACCATTGCCTTCTAATTTTGCTGCGCAGAATCTGGATGACTCATCTAATGATTTTTCAAGCACATTCATGCTTGATGAAGAGCTAGAACTGGAGCAGAAAATATTATTGAAGGATCATCCTTCTACTGTAGGCAGGTATTCCGTACTTGATTTATGACTGTTTATCTGCAATCCTTCTGCATCTCTGTTCTTCTGTCTGTCGCTAAATCTTTATTCTTATTTCAATCTTTTTATCTTTTTTAATGAAGCCCATGCCTTAAAAGGTTAAACTCTGAATTTTGATCCCCACTTTTTCAATAAGAAAAAAGAATGTCATTGCATGATTTATTTGCATGGAACTTGAGGTACACTTTTGCCTCTATTTTGCATCATGTACTTCATCAAGATAAATGCTGATTATTGGCTTATTAATACTCTTTATTTGGACTAAGTGGAGTGGATTTCAAATTTAAGGTCCTGAATCCCCTGAAACTGTCTTGGCAATTTATTTCTTGATGGATTTCAATTATGGGTAAAAGTTGATTTTATGTCCTCACAATACCAGTGTTAAGCCGCAGCAAATTCATTATACTCTCAAATGGTTTCATTCTGGACTAATTTTGTGGGGGTGGGTGTCATGAATATGTATCTACAGAAGAGTACTGTGTTATTCAACGGTAGGTTTAGATCAATTTCAATCAGGAAAAGATTAGAAAATTGCCGTTGAGATTTAGCCCCCGTTTGGCCCCCATTTTGTGCAAAAATTAACTGGTGGAATAGTGTTTTTTTAAAAATGATTGGTTGAAAGAGAATGAAAAATTTTCGATTTACGTCTAATATTATTTTATGGAAGATTTTGTGGTTGAAAATAGGAGAGAGAAAAATAAAATGGAATGGAATGAAAATTAATGGGGGCCAAACGGGGGCTTATATCAGAGTTTCAAAATGCAACATTAGAATATTGACTTTGGGTCTTGATATTTCAGCTTTGTTCTTTAGGTAAAAGACCTAGATTGTTGTACAAGACCCCCCCCCCCCCCCCCCCCCCCCCCCCCCCCCCCACACCCAACCTAACCCCCGCGACAAAACCCTTATATATAACGAACCTTCTTCCTCATTTCCCAAACCCCTCAAATTCCACTCTTCTTCCCCCCCAACCGATACTTCCTTGATCTGAGCTGTGAAAACAACAATCCCTAACCAACTGGAACAAAGGAGAATTAGTTTGTATAAGGCTCCTTGAAGGTTCCTTCCAGCTAAAAATGAAAAAAAGTTGTTTTTACTTTATATTTGCCTTAGAAAGAATATGTTTAACCAAACCAAATTTCCCTTACCTTAGCTCTACAACCATTTAACATAATTTCCGTCAATGAGCAATATACTTCTTTTTATGCAGTCAGCTCTGAATATGCATATATACCTTGTGGTTAATTAAGAGACTAATTTTATTTGGAAATATGAGTCATTTTCAACATTCATAGAGAAACAAAATTACTTTGGTATTTCGTGCTTTACTTCCTAGTGCATTAATTGGCTTTTAGGAAGGTGAATAATGTGTTTCTGTAGGATGCATCCTGTCCATTTTGTAGCTTGATGGTATAGCTAACCGGTGTGCCATCAATAAGGTCAAGGCATTAAAAATGGCCATCTTTTATATATGGCTGGGAGACTATTTGAAGTCTTCTTAGCAGCAGATGATTGGATTCTGTTGAAAGTAAAGGGAAAAAACAAAAGCTGCACAAAAGATTAATTTGAAAATATGAATTTGAGGTTGTATCCTGGGCATACTATCAGATTCTCCCTTTGTCAATTTATGATTGGACTTTTCAACAAGTGGTGGAGTACATTTTTGGAGAACCTGTTCGACTGTAGTACTGCTGAACTTATTATCATGTAGATGTTATGGACAGACTGTGTCATTCCATTTCATTGGGCTCTCAATTGAAGTTTTCCTTCAAAAAAGTGGTCACTTTTGTTTGTCCTTTTTTTCCTCCTTCTGCACTAAAAAGATTTATTGATACTCTTTTTATGTAATAAAGATGCTACAATTCTTTAAGAGTACAATTGCTAGGTTTAAAAGCTTTAAATTTCGGACACAATTTTAGTATTCCTTGATGCAGAATTGCAGTTCATATGTTGTGCTTTATAGTTTTTGCTGTTCATTGCCTTTAAACTTTCTTACGTTGGCTCTGACTTATCTTCTTCACAACTTGGTGCCATTACTCCAAAAGAGTCGATGATGAAGATGATGAGATCGTTGTCAATGATCAAGCTGTGGAGAGGCTAGTAATTGTTACCCAGGCAAGTCCATGAGCTGCATGGACCCCAGTATATTTTGATCTTTTGTTGTATGGAGTGGCTCAAGTCATTTTCAGATAATGCTCAATTATGTTAATTATTATGATGTTATTATGCTGTTCTGTTATTTGTAATTTCCATTCCATATAAAGTGAGAAGATTGTTGCAATCATGATGAGGATTCACTCGAATGTTAGAAGGTATAGGAAATGAGTTCTGACTTTTTTGCAAGTACACCATCCAACAATTCATTTTTGCAGATTGCAGCAACTTTCTTGTTTGTCGCGAAGTCAAATATTTGAGGAGCATAGTCTTGCTTTTATCTGTTAATTTTTTACACTTGATCTCTTCATGTGAATATGTAAGAAACCACACATTATACAAGGTTAGTTTACAGTTTGTGTCCCTTGTTCTTTCAAGCTCCTAGGCAAGGCTTAAGCCAATAATTCAGAAAGTTTCAAAAGTTGCTGTAGGAGTAATATTCTAGTTTGTGGAATTGGATAATGACATTGTACAGTGTTGGCCTTTGCTAATCCTGGAAGGGCACATAAATAGATACGGGGGGAGTGTAGATTTTGAGATCTTGTGGACTGTGAATTATTGACATGTCTAGCAATTATTAATAGGAAAATAGTTCTCTCAGTTTCTAAAACACCAAATATCCTGGACTTATATTCCGAGATGCTTGATTAATTAAACGACATTATATCTTTTACTCCAATATGATTGGTGATGTTAAAAAAGAAAAAAAGAACTAGAGCGCACTCCAAACTGAAACTCTGTTTTTTATCTCTATTTTCACATGGCTCATTCACAGTAAAATTACATTCTCATGCCAGGAACATGTGATACCGAATTATTTGATTCTGTTTTGATTTAGGCAATAAACATCTTTCTCATTGAACTCATATTTGTCTGCCTGAGGTGCATTTCTTCCAAATTATTGTTCTTAATTTTTTCAAATAATCTGAACTGATACTAATATTGTTGATCTTATTTACCTATGGTATAAATAATAATTGTTTTTTCACAGGGTTTCTGTGAAAGTTTCCACTAATTAGAACGTGTTTTATAGTTTTTTTCCTTATCATTTGGGGCCTTTCCATTTTTCCATTTGTTTTCTTCCTTGGGACCTTTAATGGAGAAGGAGAGTGGGGTTTTACATAATTTATACTGAATTTGAACAATTTGATGAAAGCTTTTTGCTGAGAAGTTGACCTGAAGATACGTTTGCCCATTTGCTGGTTATTGTTTTATGACTAACTAGATGTGTACTACAGAATAGTTGGGTGGGTGAAGTACAAGGGGAAGAAGCACAAAGAATATCCAGTGAGCTTGCTTCTGCTATAAATGACGGCCTCTACTTTTATGAGCAGGTTGATTTGTTTTCTATTTCTACTACATTTATACTTATATAAAAAGCAATTGCTTTTAATATTTTGCTTTTTGCAGGAGCTGAAGTCAAAACGATCTCATCGTAGAAGTAATAAGCCCAATAATGAAAGCAGGAACGATATTTCCAAATGTTTAGTTGCCAGTGTCGCGGTATCAGATTCAAGGAATCATGAACATTCTTCTTATGGCCATGAGGAGCCTGGCAATTTGAATTCTAGAAGGAAGCAAAACAAAGTCAGTTCCAAGCAGCAATATATTCAAAAGCAGCGACTATTCTCTGGAAACGTTAAGGGACAAGGAAGCGTTAGAAACTCTATTGGCGTGATAACTGATAGTCCACCTAGAGATTTAGTTGGTTTTTTCTTTGGTTCTACTCCTCCAGATGGTCACGGGTGAGTTCAGATCATATTCGTATGTTCTTATTTTTCTTCAACGTCTAGAATAATTTTATGTTGTTTGAGTAAAAGGTAAGTTTTCTGAAGCAAATAGTTCATTTCTGTAAACTTTTTGCTTAAGGTTTATTTGCTAATTATAAATTTAAAATTTTCTAAAGCTCAACTCTCGATTACCCAGGCTGAGGCCTTCAAAGTTGAGTGCTTCACCTCACAGCAATCTTTCTGGAAGCAGTCCGCCTGTTGGTTCGATGCCAAAGCCATTTCCGCCATTTCAGCATCCAAGTCATAAACTTCTAGAGGAAAATGGCTTCAAACAGCAGCTGTGAGTAGATATATTTTAGACACACCGTTAGGATACCAATGCATGTCTCTATGTTTGGTTATGTTGGAGCACATAGTTAGCATTTCATATGCGTGTGATTGCCTTTTGCTTTGAGATTCCAACATCTTTTGTTGCTCATTAGATTTTTCAACGGGGCTATGGATTCTTCTCTGCAGGTATAAGAAGTATCACAAGAGGTGCCTTAGTGAACGTAAAAAATTGGGAGTTGGTTGCAGTGAGGTATTCTTTTAAATATTTGCGCAACATCTTTAATTGTTTGTTAGACGTATAGTATGATTTTACAAGTTCTGGGAAGAAATTGATGCAGAAGATGTGCTTAAAAAGAAGACAAATTTTGTACTTCGTATACAGCAGATTTGGAAAAATTGAATGAGTTTTTCCTTTTATCCTTTTAGTAGACTGCTGAGATATTATTGCACAGGATAATATTTTTGAGAAATTAGAGAGTTTTTTTGTGAGAAAACTCTGTTCTCTATTGTTAGAGGATACCCTTTATATAGGAAATACACTTGCTGATTTGTAGCCCTAATTTACAGTCATTATTGATGATTTACAGTGATTTGCAGCCCTAATTTGCAGCTCTAATTTACAGCATACAGCCCTAACAGTTGATTTACAGCTCTATTTACAGTGATTGATTTGTGCTGATTTACAGAGATTGCAGCCCTGATTTACAGCCTACTTTCTTTAACAATTTTTAGGAGTGAGTTTTTGTTTTTTCCAATAATTGCTAGATACGGGCAATCTATTAGGATTTTTCTTACTTCTAGTAATGTTGTTTCGGTGCTTATGAAGAATCCTAATTGGTCTTAGATTAATCTTTTAACTTTCCTAGTTCAAGTCCTAGTTTTGGTTTAATGGGACAGACCTATTTGTACAATCTCTGTATTCTCATGAAGTTAACCTGATAAAAAATTGATATTCTGTTGTGTGTTCCCTTATTTGGATTTTTGTTCTTTTCCTTTAAGTTTCTTCTTTTTATCCACCTTAGTCTAAAGCATTGTTCTTGAGTACACCACCTATCGAAACAACCCAATAAAATTATAAAATTTCCTCCCCCATCCCTTATTTTTTGGGGAAATCATCCTAAACCCATGCCCACTGGAGTCTTTACAAGAAATTTTCTAAATCTGTACGCCAGTAGAGTCGTTAGAGCCTAAAAATCCAAACAGGAAGACAATGGAAGTTTTGTATTTTTCAGCATTTTCGATCCTATGGAAAATTCTCTATAAGACCTTTTCCTTTCTTTGCAAAATCATTCCTAATTCATCACCAAAATCGTTTACCATGTAATTTACATCAAATCCCATGTTGGTCCATCATAAGAGTCTCTGTGAAGGAGTTTTTACAACTCTCATGCATCAGAGATTTAACGTTGTTTTTAGATCAGCACTTAAGACTTCTGCGAAGTCTCTTAAGGTTATTGGCTTCCCCTTTATTTAGTGTAATTCAAGATATGTTCACTGTATCTTATTAGAGGGAGATGTCATTGCCTCTTAGATAAGGGGGTGGGGATGGAGATGGGGATGGGGTTTATCTTCCCTGTTAGCGTCTAGGAAGCAAGTGCACTATTGTTAAATATGCTGAACTTGCCAATTATTTTCTTTAACTGGACATTTTACCAAATTTCTCTTTTAAAAGGGCATACGAACTTACTGGTGGACGCAGTGTAAAATTTCTCTCTTTTTCTTCTTTTTAAATTCTTCATCAATCCACCTGTTTATAGCAGATTGGATTATTTCTGTTGCTAGCATGGCATTGCTTCTCTTATGATGTGCATGCTCTTTATTTATAAATGGCTCGTGCAATTTTTGCAGGAGATGAATACACTGTACCGATTTTGGTCTTATTTCTTAAGGAACATGTTTATTCCTTCCATGTATAACGATTTTCGGAAGTTTGCTCTAGAAGATGCTGCTGCTAATTATAATTATGGGATAGAGTGTCTATTCAGGTTTTATAGGTAAGCTTCATGCGTTGCTTGTTTGTCCTAGTTTCTTGCTGAGAGTTTTCTTTCTATTCAACTACTCTTCTCTGACAAATGCCTTTTTGTTTTAAATTGTTTTATCGCTTGTTTTCTTTTCTTAGTTATGGTTTGGAGAAGGTATTCAAAGAGGATCTGTACGAGGACTTTGAACAGCTGACACTTGACTTCTACAATAAAGGAAACATTTATGGCCTCGAAAAATACTGGTAAGTACATTATTGTTAGTGAACTATTTTTTCAGTGAACATATTGTAGTCATTATTTTCTCTGGATGATTAAATAATACACGTGAACACGACATTTTTTTATAGGCTGTGCTTGGTGTACATAATTTTATGTTGAGTGGGTCTCACACGCATGTGAGTGTGTGAACACCCCATTATGTGTGTAAAATTATGTACAAGTAGCTTTATCCTTTTTTTATTTAAAATGACAGAATCCTGAACCAGGTAAAAAGGTCTTAGCTATGTGGCAAAGCTTATATCTTCCTCTTTCTGGTAACTCGGGTTCCTGTTTTATGCAAAGACCTTACTGGCACTTGCAATCTCATCTACAATCCTTCGACTTGTTTTAGTACTTGCACATTTTCTCTCCCTACCAGATTCTTTATCTCATCTCCCCGTTTCTGTTTTACGTTTTACTCCTTAATCATTATTTTTCTTATATACTCCTCCTGACTTTGGCTGTTACTTTCGACAATTTCTCGGCAGGGCATTTCACCATTTCCGGGAGGCACGTGACCGTAAAGAACCATTAAAGAAACATCCAGAATTGGATAGACTGCTCAGAGAAGAATATCGTAGTTTGAACGACTTCAAAGTTAAAACGTCCGCTGCAAAAGAAGATAGTCACTAGCCTTGACGCTTTATGCTGCAAAGTTACATCCAAAAACTGACGATATTGCAATTTTGGGAAGAGAAATCTAACAGGTTGAAGAACAAGCTTCCATTCGTTTGGGAAATGGAATGACTTTGTATATAATATGTTGACAGGTACTAGATCTTTCGTACAAGAGGTTCAAGGGCTCTCAAGCAGTTTTTGGTGTTCTCCAGCTGCTCGATGCATTTTCATTTTAATCGGATTTATTAGTTGTATATAAAAAAAAAAAATGGAAAAAAACCCCAAAAAATGAAAAAATGAAAAAATGAAAAAAAATAAAAAATAAAAAATTGTATAAACTTGAAATTTATAGAGATTATAAACAATAAGTTCTTGAAAATTATCTTGACTTCCTCTTGTTCAAGTGAGTAGATTATGGTAGTGTGAAGTGAATGGTGTTCCGATTCTTCGTATGATGTGTCCTTTGAAGGTACATTTAGAAACGGTATTAAGTGAAATATTAACAGTAGTCTCCGTGTGTGTGTGTGTGTGTGTGTATTCCCCAAATGGATTTTCAACCATTTATGGGGTATATAGTTTTTATGAAGTTTTCAATTATACGTTTTATCATTTTTTTGTGAAAATTTAATTTTTAATCAAACTAAATAGACACTGAAGTAAATTTTTTTAGAAAATATTAAAACCAACATTTAGAATTGGTTTTGAAATGCCTTCTTGATTTTGATATTCTTAATGAAATAAAAAAATTTGTATAAAGTTAATTCGATAAGTTTAATTTCTTTATTACAAGAAAGAATCAAGCCAAAATTTGTTTTTAATGGAAATTTTTTGAAGAGAAATTTTCCATGATTGTTTTGATGGATTGAAAATCAAGCATTTGTGTTGCATTTTTCTTGTCAAAAGTAAATTTCTTGCAATCATGTTACATGTGCAGAGATTTTTGTTAGACGGTTTGTCAAATTGTCAATTGGTACAATCTTATTAAAATATTGGACAAAATACAAATTTAAATCAGCCAATCACTTATTGCCACCTAATCATCTAAATGCTTTTTGTACATTTCATATGTATAAGAAGCTTAATTCAACTTCTTGAAAATGATTCTCGTATCTAGTACTATTATGATAGCCGAGTTTTCTACAAGATACACTGTGAATGAAGAGAACCCTCAGGAACTTTGAAGCGCATTTTTCATATCAGCTCCGAGTCTATAGAAAGAGGCTTAGGCATCCTTAAAGGTAATAATACGCACATGCAAATGTCACGAGTATCTCTACTAAGCGTTTTAACCATCGGATAGTCAGATATATACATGTATATTCACATGTGATGCCAAATAATTTGGAAGAAATGCTGTTCATCGTCGTCCTAGTATCAACAAGTATGCTTCAAATGGACATATCTAGCTAGCTGAACTGCCAGGCTCCATCCCATCTTCATCATCATGGTCAGGCGGCTCATTGAGGTTGAATTCGAAAACATTAGGGTCTTCTTTCTCTTCGTCTGTAGAGGTAACTTGGTGGGATCTTGGAACATGATCAGCATGATTCTGAAATCCAGAAGCCTGATCGGGAGGGAAATTATTGTCGCAAATGATAAAGTCATAAATATTATAAACTGCTTTTAAGCTAAAAGCTGATTTTTTACTTACACTGTTCACTTCCATTTGTTCTGTGGCATTGGCATAAGCAGCTCCATTTAAAGACGGATCAGCAACGGTATTGTAAATCTTCACCTTCACCTTTTTCTCTTTGTGGCTACTTGATCTGTGCCGACCCATTGCTTGGCAAGTTGGAAAACTCTTCTCACAAGTGCTGTAATTGTCTTTAGCAGCCTCCGGTTCAACAGGGGTGAAATCCAGTAGTGATTCTGGATCCATTGATTTCTTCTTGATCATCATAGAGCCATTAGTACCAGATTCGTAAGGATTATCACCAGGATTCATAGAGCTATTTGTTGAATTTTCTGTTTGAAATCCAGGATATAGTTTTCTGTTTCCTTTGCCATTGTAATCTATTCTCCTGAATTGTTTACCACCAGGGTTTTCATCCGCTCTTTCAAAGATTTTCAGCTTTTTAGCTGGTGAATTCCTTTCATCTGCAAAGGAAAGCACCTCATTATTCTTATTCGATTGAAAATCTTGATTAACACCATCGATTTCACCTTCCCTAACCTTAGATTCCAGATCTTCACTAGGTTTCTTGGAATCTCCATTAATAAGCCTTAGAAATTCCTCTGAACTTGGAAAAGGCGACAAACCAATGACGGGTTTGATTGGTGTGCGGCTGCCCTTAAATTTGCTGCTATTGGCTTCACCTTCCTTAACCTTGGAATCCAGATCTTCACTAGGTTTCATAGAATCTCCATTGGAGGCGCTCATGAGCTCATGTAGAGAAGCTAGAAATTCATCCGAAATCGCAAGGAGCGGCGAATCAATGACTTGCTTAGTTGCCGCCCGGCCGCGCATACCTGTCACCTGCCACTTCATAGATTCGTTCAAACCAAACACATGACCAGAATTAATCCGATCACCATCAAGAACATGTGAAGGAACCCTATTCATGGCCTCAAATTCCATCTTGGATTTCTGCTTCTTGACAGAGAAATCTCTGTTGGACTGAGCATGAGCTCTGTTCATGTGGTCTCTCAATGCCTTGCCGGAGCTGAAGGTCATTTTGCACTCCACACAGTAATGATCCTTCACTTTTCGGCCATCCTTCTTCTCATCCGAATTTTTTTTCATGTTTGGTATCTTGAACTTCACCCGCCGTTTCTTGATCCTTCTCAATTCTCCAAAAAAAAAATAAAAAAATAAAAAAAAATCAATAAAAATGATTACTCAAATAAATCTTGAAACAGATTTTGTACAGAGAAAATTATTCTTCCAACACAAACAAACCCTAAAGAAAGAATGAAGAGGGGCAGTGAGAAAATACAAGAAATTTAGTTAAAGGTTTGAAATTCAAAGAGGGTGAAAATTTTAAGAGTCAGAGAGCTGGTGTATTAACTTGCAACGAAAGTGAACGAAATGGAAACAATAGATCAAGAAACGAGGAAAAATTTTCAGACCCAGGCTCGAAATATTCAGATTACAATAAACCATGAAGAAGATAAACCCATATCTTGTATTTAAAATCTCCCCTCTCTAACTCAATATATTTTTAGTGTATTAAGTGTATGTATAAACGTAATGCATGATGAAAATTGTTGAAGAGGAAGACCTGTCGCATGGTTCTTGGAAAAAAAAAAAAAAACGAAATTATTTTTCATAAATTTGAACTTTATATAAACTAAACATTAAGCCATATTTGAATTCAAATAAAATTAGATTTTTAGTATATTTTAATAAAAGTTGATAAAATGTGTGATTGAAAAGTCGTAAATTCCATAAAATGTGTAATTAAAATTAGTTGTTGACTTTGACTTAAATTAAAATCTGAATTTTAATTTCTACCAAACAGAGACCAAGGGGTTCTTTATTTTTTATATTTTAAATTTGAAAACACGAGCAGTAAATAAGCCTTTACTCCCTCATAACATAGTTTTTGTATGGAAAATGCCATCGACAAGATATTTTAATTAATGAAAGATTGAGAATAAGGACATGATAAAAATAGTTGGATATATAATTATGATAATAAGTAAATATTATAAACCTTTAATGCAATTAAAATGATGTGTATTTATAAGAAATTTTCGTGTCAATATATAATCTTCGTGGACTAGTTGCTAAATAAAACTTGAAAACATTTTTTTTTTATCCCTAACTTCCTAAAATGATTTTGCTGAAACAATGTTAATGCCACTTGAAGGATTGCATCATCCAATCAACGCAATAAAAGTTGGATGATTGAGTAACACGTTGGTATAATTAAAATGAGCTTTAAAGTTTGGAGTAAAAAATGAAAAGGTCAAAAGTTCAATGATAATAAGTGATATTAAGCTCCAATTAGATTTATATTAAATCAGATATTTAGTACATTTTGATAAAAGTTGATGGAATATTGTGGAGTAAAAAGTTGAGGATTCCATGAAATGTGTGTTTATAATTAATTGTCGAATTTTGAATTATATTTTAATACATTTTTAAGTTAAACCAACTAGGGGTTAAGTGTAAAATTTGGTGACAATGCATAATTAATCATTTGAAAGGCTATATTGTAATTTCATTATTGATTTATTATTATTATTATTATTATTATTATTACTTTTAGTATGAGCATCAAATTGTCATTAATTATTAATATCCAATATGAATATATAGTTCATTCTTCATAATATTTATGTTGAACACAAGTGTATAAATTAAAGAATAATGTTATCCAATAGTAATGGTTCTTTTTACGTGTCTAGATAATCGTAAGAGTCCACTTTTACTTTTTCAGTAAAGTTATGATGCATTTTTATTCGTTGGATAGTTAAAGGTGAATACTCCATTGTCACCTAAACTGATATTGGATAATATTATTCTAATTAAAAGGTATATTCCATGTAAGGTAATATTAGAGTAATGATAAAAATTATTGGTGATAAGTAACATTGTAAAATAAATATTTGACCTAGGTTCTTATATTCAATAACAATACAGATGTAAACTTGTGATAGTCCATTTAAAAACTGTATTAATTCATATATTCAATTCGAAAGAGTAGTGTCTTTTTCAAGAAAGAGACCCACAAAAATCCTAACAAAATTGAAAATTTTAGCAAAAATTACTACAAAAATTTAGGCTCCGTTTGGAAAAATTTATAATTATTTATAAATGGTGAACTATTATTCATTTTTATCTATATAATAATTAAACGGTCTATAAATTCTTTGTATTTTCTTACTGCCCTTCTGCATTCTTTCTTTAGGGTTTGTTTGTGTTGGTAGAATTAATCTGCTCTGTACAAAATCTGTTTCAAGATTTATTTGGCTAATCGTTGTTTTTTTTTTTTTTTGGAGAAATGAAGAAAGGTCAAGAAAATTAACCGGATTCAACAATGGAAGATGACCAAGATTCAGACGGAGCTGAAACGGTGGCGCCGCCGGCTCCCACGAAACAACACAGTGCGTGAAGTTCAAGTTACCAAACATGAAGGAAAGTGGAAGGATCATTACTGTGTGGAGTGCAAAAAGATATTTAGCTCCGGCACGGCATTGGCAGACCACATGAGCAGTGCTCATGTTCAGTCCAACAGAGATTTCTTTATCGAGAAACTGAAATCCAAGAAGTAGAGGCACACGATGGAGCCACAAGTTGAGGCGGAAACGAATTTTTCCGAGCCGGAATATGAGGCCATGAATGGAGTTCCTTCATATGTTCTTGATGGTGATCAGATTGATTCAGGTCATGTGGAATTCGATACATTAGCGTGTTTGTATAGATTGATTATAAGCATATATTAAAGAATTATCAAACTCAAATTTTTGTAATTTGCAGGTGTAGTGCAAACTCATACGTAATGTTTATAAGCAATAATTACTCATCCCGTGTTTTTATCGACTTATATACGAGACAATATGATGAGCTATATCAAGTATGAATCATTAGCTTATATCATACTCTCGAATTTTAATTCTTTCCTATTACGTTCAATCTATCGTACACAAAAATTGTTAAGATTTTAAAAAGTCACAAAACGAAGCTAGAAGACTGCAAGAGCATTACTTGTTTACAATTTCTTATGCTATGATTTTTGGGCTTTGTTGCATGTACCTGGGCGTTTACACGTCCTTCACATGGCGAGTGGGTCCCACGCATTTATTGTGCGGGCACTGCCCCCATGTGAGGGGCGAGTGATCGGGCGTATAAATAACATTTTTCATAAATTTTAGTGTGCGCATCACCATGGTTCAAAGAAATCCAAGAATGTCTAAATGTCTCGTGATCTACTATTATAATAGCTATAACCACTTTCAACAAGATACATTTATGCATGGGCGCTGGGTGCATTTACCGGAACAGCTGCCGATGCTATAGAAAGAGGCGTAGGTATCCCAAAAGATAATGAACATGAAAGTGCAAAGGTTCAAGTACATATGAACATACAATAGAAAGAAATATTGGTCTACGTTGTACTACTGAGTAAAGCAAGTAGCATTGAGCATGCTTCTTCAACTAATCCACCAAATCAGTTAGCAAACTTGCATAACATATACAATAAAGGATATCAGTAAGCAAGCAAAAAACAAGAAGACGGGCAGAATACTGGATATTAAAGGCCTCAAAATTTCAACAAGAAAAAATGGACATCTAACTAGCTTTATTACCAGGCTCCATCCCACCTTCATCATCCTGGTTAAGCCTCTCATTTAGATCGAACTCGAAAACTTTATGCTCTTTTTTCGCCTTGTCTGTAGGGGTAACATGATCAGCACGATTGCACTCACCAGTGGAATGACATTGATTCTGAACTCCAAAAGCCTGATAAGAAAGGATATTATTGTTGAAAATCATACAACCATAAGTACTATAATAAACTGCTTTAAAGCTAAAAGATGTTTTTTACTTACTATGTTTATTTTCAATTGTTTGATGGCCTAGGCTTTTGGCTTATCCTTGACATAAGAAGCTTCATTTGAAGACTGATCATCAATGGTATTGTAAATCTTCACTTTGAACTTTTTGTGGCTTGATCTGTGCCCACCTAGTGCTTGGGGTGTGGTAAAACTCTTGCCACAACTGCTGCAAATGTACTTATCAGGTGTCACAGCTGGAAGAACAGATTTGGTCGCCGGTCCGATGGGGCTGAAATTTGGTGGCAATTCTTGATCTACTGATTTCTTCTCTTCTGTAGTCCTATTCTTGATTATCATAGAGCCATTGGTACCTTGTTTGTGAGGTTCATCAAACATATCTGGTGAATAATCTGAACTTATTGAAATTTCAGGATTCAATTTTCCCTTTCCTTCGCCTTTATGAAGGAATCTTTTGGATTGTGGACTACCAGGGTTTTCATCAGTTCTTTCCCAAATTTTCAGCTTTTCAACTGGAGAATTCCCTTCATCTCCAACTGGAAACGCCTTCTCTCTTTTCTTTTTCAATTGAAAATTCTGATTAAAATAATCAGTTTCACCCTCAGGAATCCAATAATTGCTGCTGGTGACTTCACCTTCCTTAACCTTGGAATTCAGATCTTCACTAGGTTTAGTAGAATCTCCATTGACAAGCCTTATGAGTTGTTGAACAGCTAGAATTTCCTTCGAATTCGGAAAAGGCGGCGATTCATTGACTGGCTTAGCTGGCGCCCGGCCACGCTTACCTATCACCAGCCACTTCACAGTTTTATTCAAACCAATCGCCTCAGAAGTCACCACAGGACCTGAATCAATCTGATCAGGATCAAGAACAAGCAAAGGTACCTTATTCATAGCCTCAAATTCATGCTCAGAAAACTTTCTCGCCGCTTCAGCTGGTGGCTCCATCCCTCTCCACTCCCTATCAGGATGGCTCCTCATGTGCCCAAATAAGGACTTGTTTGTAAGAAAACCCCTCCCACAGATCTTACAAATATTTTTTCCGCCATAGCCAGAAGGAGAACCGAAGCCCACAAGTTGCTTCGGCCGCCTCTTTTTCTTTGGTTTCAGCTTCTTGAGGGAGAAATCTCTGTTGGTTTGAGCATGAGCACTGCTTATGTGACCTCCCAATGCCTTGCCAGAGCTAAAACTCCTTTTGCATACCACACAGCAATGATCCTTCACTTTTGGGCCATCCTTCATATTATCCTCGTCCATGCGTTCTTTCACGTTTGGAAACTTGATTTTCACCGGCAGTGGTTTGTCGGCGGAACCACCCGTCGGCGCCACAGTTTCAGCTCCGTCTGAATTTTGGTCATCTTCCATCATTGAATCCGGATGATTTTCTTGATCTTTCTCCATTCTCAAGGAAGAGAAAACGGAAAAGATTAGCAAAATCAACTCTTCAAATAAATCTGGAAACTGATTCTGTACAGAATAGATTTTTATTCAACCAAAACAATCTAACCCTAAAGAAAGAATAGAGAAGGGCAGTGAGAAAATACAAGAATTAATTAAGGAAAGTGGTTGAATTTCAAAGGTAAAATTTTTATATTCAGAAGGAGAGCTGGTGTCTTAGCTTACTAGGAAATTGACCGAAAAGAAGAAGAAAAAACGAAAATTTCTCTGGCCCAGTCGCGAAAAATTCGGATTTTGATAAACCCTGAAGAAGATAGACCATTGTATGTAAATTCTTCTCTCTATCTCGATGTATTTAGTGGACGTATAGGCATAATTTATGATGAAAATGGTCGAAGATGAAGAGCTGTTGCATGTTAATAGTCATATTAATTATCACACACAAATAAATTCTTGATTTTTATTCATTTAGGTGTGTTTAATTGCCACTATTTTTCATGTAAAATGTGTTTTTTCCATATAAATTCTTATTTTTACGTTATTTGATTGCTATTTTTTTTCATGAAAAATATTTTCCTGCTTTTGGTCACGTGATCATATTTTTCTCAAAATTAAGGAAAATATTATTTTCCACGGAAGTCACACTCTCTTTCTCTCTTTTATCTATTCACTCTCTCTCATCTACCTACTAACCAAAAAGAGACAAGTATAAAATTTTCTAGATTAAAAATTAAATCAATCAAACACGTTTAATTGACAATTTCTATACTTCTTTCAATGCAAATTTCATACTTGCAATTAAACGCATCCTTAATTATCATTTTAGGGCTGAATTCTAAAAGAATGTTTTGGAGTAATCGATAATCGGTCTAAATTATAAATCAATAAAATAGATGAAGGATAAGTTGATAACATTTGTAAATAATTTTACGTGAATAAAAAATAATTTAATTGATTATAAGAAGATTATAAACATCAGCCAATTGTCGATAGACGATAATTATAACTTGCTATTAACGTTTATGGTACATTATCGAATATGACTAAGTGTGACAATAGAACAATTGTTGTGTCTAGTATTAGAAATATTTGGTCTAGCCCGTAATACACATTCTTGAAAAGGTAATGAAATCCGAAATAAGAGGTACAAGGCTTGATCTTTTTTCTAGTAATTTTATTTCTTGAATCATGATATTTGTTAATTAGGTTCTCATTTTCAATTTGTTAATAGATAAGAGACCTTGGGATGCAATTTTTATTCGGTTTGACAATGAAGTATCAAGGATGGTTGGCTTTTAATTCGATTAATTAGAATTTTTTTTTATTGAATTCTTATAATTAACATTCGATTAGTTGATATATTTTGTCTCTATAGACTACTTTTTGTCCAATTGTCTTTAGTTTTCTTTGAAATGAGATTACAAATATTTTGTTGATGTATTTGTTGCTTTATTGCTTGACAATTTAGTCTTTTTACAACATATTAATAGATTTTTTTTTTGACGGAAACTGTCATCGAACATGAGAGGTGCTAATTAGTAAAATATCGAGATAAGAATGCAATGAAAAAATTGGGAACATGAATGCAAAAATGAGCAAAAGTTGAATTTCAAACTCAAGTTTTTGTAATTTGTGCCAATATTGCAAATTTGAGATGTAACGTTAATATTTCACTAAAACCATGTGATGAAAATGATTATTCTGCAATTTTTACGGGATTTTTAGAAATTTTATTGCCTTCGTATGATTATATGTTTAAAATAAAAATTGTAATTGTATCTTTTTTCCTAAGTCAAAAATATAATTTTAATTGTCCTATGGATGCACCATACTATATTTCGCGTCTTGTTTGATATATCTCTTGAGGCTTTGACAGTTATTAATGGTAGCCAATGATGGGGTGTTTGGTGTGTTGCACTGATATATGTACAATGTTATGAGGTGTAATTTGGTGGCCTTGGAATTGCAAATTAGTACGATAAGCACCGTATACATAGGCTAGAAAATGAATTTATTGTAAATCCTACTATAGTATCATGTCTCATTGGTAACGATGAATATAACTATGATTTCTAAAGTTTAGAAGGGTGACAATGGACCTATAGGGTATGGGTATGCGTGCATGTTTTGTGCCACATGATATTTCAGGTCATACGTACACCGTAATAGAATTCAGATCGAAAAGATAAAAGACGTATAAGCTATAATTATGAGAGGTGTGAACTTTGAGAATGAGATCATATAAAGAGAAGAAATTGGAAACATCATATTAAGAGAAGAAATTGGAAACTGTGTACATGATTACGTATATGCTCATGCATATAGTTACTTGCTAAGCATTTCCTTATATAATTTTGCATTGTAGGTGTGTCAATTCATGTAGTGTACTAGAGATTGGTACCAATTCGCATATGATGGGATGCTTATGTACTAAATACACGATCGTGGTTGAGCTAGGATATGGCTGAAACCTAGAGCAGGTTACAACTGATTTCTAAAGGTATTTAGTTTTTGCAAATAGCCATCCATTATTTATAATGTTACTCATTGAATATCTTCCATTCTATATTCAAGTAAACATCCAAAAATATACTGTTCTAAAAATAAATTTTTTTTTTCGGATAGAGATTAACTAAATATTAATGACATATCGATTGATATATATATTTTTTAAATATATCCATTCTATGGTAAGATAATAATTCGGAGTCAAACACACTTGTACAACCATGCAATATTATTAAATAATTTGAAAAATCATTTTTAGAATGACATAATCAATATTTGATATAACATTATTTTATTGTTAAAATAATTTGGTGGTGGAATATAATAAATGAGAAGAAAATTTGACGAAATTTTGAGATGTTACAATAAGTATGTATTATCAAATTTTCAAACTCAAATTCTTGTAATTTGTAAGTGAAGTGCAAATCTAGATGTAGTGTTTATAATTTACTAAATGACGTGCGTAACGTAAATGCATTTAAAAACAATAATGACTCAGTCGCTCTTTTGTATAGACATAAATACAAGAATATGTGATGAGTCCAATCACGTATTAATCATTAACCTTTGTGTTTGGACACTCTTGTTCTTTGATCTTACAAATTGTGTCCTTTCTCTTTTACACACCATGTTAGCACGAAGAGCGTACCTAGTGCCAAAAAGAATACAAGACTACAAGATCCTTACAATTTCTCTTCTTAATTTTTGAGGTTCTCTTCACACTCCTCCTAAGGAATTCCAAAAATTGTCCCCATTTCTTCAATTCAAGTACAAGAAAATGCCATTGTTATTTTGATTGAATCTTGAATAAATAATACATAACTATGGAGTTAATTCGATAAGTTCTTTGGCTTGTTCTCTATTACAAGAAATAAATAAATCAAAATTATTTTTATTAAAAAATTCGAAGAAAATGTCCATTGATTCGAATTTAGAGTTAGTATGTTAATGGAACTTTAAATGACAGTAGAAACTCAACATCAATTGATTTAGCCCCTGTTTGTCATTCATTATTTATAAAATTAAAGAATTTTGAATAATATTTTTTGGAGAATGTGTGGTTAAAAAGTAAATAAACTTTATAGATTTATGTATAGAATATTTTATTGTGTAAATGTGTAATGGAGAATGATATTGTAGCAAACAATATAAAATTTTAAAGGGAGACAAACATGCATTTAATATTAAGCATTCGTGCTGCATTTATACTACCATAATTATATACACTTCTTGAAAATGATCTTGAATCTTATATCTTCTACTATTATAACAGCTATCAATTTGAACAAGATACACTATGAACGAAAAAGGCCCTCAATCTCCTCTGTAGTGAATTTATTGAATCAATTCCCGTTTCTATAGAAAGAGGTATAGGCATCCCAAAATTTAATAGGCTCACGTGCACAGGGGTGGAGTCAAAAAATTTGTTTAGTGTGAGCAAAATTTACTGTCAATTTGAAGCGTTAAAAAAATGGATTTTCCCTGACTACAGGAAAACTTACAGAATTCATACAGGATTTTGAAATGGAAAAATTTTGCCCTTTTGTCTTTTATGTTTTTTTCTTATCTTTGAATGATATTTCGACATATGTGCCCGTGAAAAATTTTCCGTGCAAAAACTCTATACTTGTAGCATAACTCAAAAAAAAAAAAAAAAAAAAAAAAAAAAAAATTTTTTTTCCAAAAAGAAATTTAAAAAAATTTTCCAT